TTGATTTCCTTTTGTGCATATTGTTGATATTTTCTATGTGGTTACCATGGGGGTAGCATTTCAAATCCTAAACTTGTAATATTCCAGTTTGAATTAATAACATCTTAACTTCTTTAGTATGCAAAAACTCTGCTCCCAGACAGCTCCATCCCTCCTGTTATATTATTATTGTAACAAATTGCATCTTTATGCATTGTGTGCCCAGTAACATAGATTTATAATTATATTTATGCATCTGTCTTTTAAATACTATAGGAAATAAAAGGGAAAGTTACAAACCAAGAATAATACTGGCTTTTATATTTGCCATTTACTTTTACTGAAGATGTTTATTTCTTCATATAGCTTAGAGTTACAGTCTAGTTCCTTTTTATTTAAATCTGAAGAAGTCTCATTAGTATTTCTTGTAGGGCAGGTGTGGTGGTAAAGATCTTCAACTTTTGTTTATATGAGAATGTCTTAATTTTACCTTCATTTTTGAAGGATAGTTTTTCCAGAAGTAGAATTCTTGTTTGACAGGTTTTTTGCTCTCAGGTCTTTAAATATCTTTCCCACTGCCTTCTGGGTCTTCATGGTTTCTGCTGAAAAATTACTTGTTAATTTTATTGAAGACCCTTGTATAAGACAAGTCACTTGTGAAGCAGGTTCACATGCACTGCTTACCAACTCATCTGAGTATATTGAGATAAAACACCCATGCACAAGTTACATGATGCATGTTTATTAATGATAGATAAGCAGCAAGGGACAACAGAAGACTAGAATTTATTGTTAGCCAGTCCTCCAAGGCTCAGGGAAGCCACCCGGGGTGGACAGTGTCTTGACTGTGCATGTCCCACTTGCACTGCAGCTGAGGGAACCCAAAAGGCAGGCTGTCCTGTGTTACATACCTCAGGGCTACATGACAGGGCTAATATAGGATGCTGAAAGACATCTTGTTTCAAGGGAAGAAAGGAACAGAGCCCAGGCTGTTCTGGCCAGTCCCTCCCCAATCTCAGGATGTTATATTCCCAGCAAATGCTACAGTTATTCCTGAGAACTACACGTGAGAAAGTAGGGGAAACTGGGTTGATTCAAGGCCACCTAGAGAACTGTCCTGCATCACTGAATTTCCTGAATCTGAAATTGATCTTTTATCAAATCTGGGATCTTTTTAGTTATTTTTAATCACTTTAAAAAATGTACCCTTTTTTGAGCAATCAATTTCTTGTGTGTTAAATTGGCTCATATTATCATACAGGTGTGATTCTTAGTTTTTAAAAAAAATGCTTTACCTGTGTTTCATTTTGGCTTCTGTTGCTATTTAACCTTTTCTTCAGCATTGTCTAAATTGCTGTAAATCCTATCTATTGTGTATGTGTGTTTTCACTTCTGACATTGTATTTGTTATCTTCTATAGTTCCTCAAGCCCTTTTTTGTAACTCTTATTTTTCTCCTTATCATGTTCATGTTTCCCTTTATATCTTTGACACACCTTTGGTCATTCATCTTTGTAAGACTTATAATAGTGCTTATAAGGTCCTTGTCTGCTAATTCCATTGTCTCTGTCATTTCTGGATCTGTTTCTATTGGCTGCTTTTTCTACTTATTATGGGTCATAGTTTTCTGCCTTTTTACTGTAATTTTTGTTTGGATGCTGGATGTTGTGAATTTTTGATAATTTTTTTTTTGAGACGGAGTTTCACTCGTTTCCTAGACTGGAGTGCAGTGGCATGATCTTGGCTCACCAAAACCTCTGCCTCCTGGGTTCAAGCAATTCTCCTGCCTCAACCTTCAGAGCAGTGGGGATTACAGGCATGTGCTACTATTCCTGACCAATTTTGTATTTTTAGTAGAGATGGGGTTTCTCCATGTTGGTCAGGCTGGGCTTAAACTCCTGACTTCAGGTGATCTGCCTGCCTCAGCCCAAAGTGCTGAGATTACAGGCGTGAGCCACTGCACCCAGCCTACATATTTTTTTAAATGATTTTAGCATAAATAGTGTGCTCTCACGTTTTCTTTTTTTTTTTTAGAGACAGGGTCTTGTTCTGTCCCTTAGGCTGGAGGGCATTGGGGCGATCATAACTCACTATCGCTTTTAACTCCTGGACTCAAGTGATCTTCCTGCCTCAGCCTCCTGAGTAGCTGGGACTACAGACATGTACCACCATGCCTGGCTAATTAAAAACATTGTTTTTGTGTGTAGAGACAAGCCTTTGTTGCCAGGCTGGTCTTGAACTCCTGGTGTAAAGGAATCCTCCTATCTCGACCTCCCAAAGTACTGGGATTAGACATGAACCACTGCTCTTAGATTGCTGTCACTTTTATTGTTGTTTTCCTGTATGTAATATGTATTTTTCTTTGGCTGCTTCTAAGACCTGAATATTATCTTTAGTTTTTAGCAGTTCAACTATGATATGCCTCTGCATGGTCCTTGCATTAATGTTACATTATTTATAAATACAAATTCTAGTAATGACTCAAATATCTAAGAATTTGAGAATGGCTAAGTATATTCATTGATATAAAGGAATAACATGGAATAAATATGCAGATTAGGTTGGTATAAGCTAAAGCATAATGAAGTAGTGTTTGATAAAAAGTAGAACAAACACATATACAAATACTTGAACATTAAGAATATTTGTAGAAGAGATTTATATATTTAATAAACTTATCTAAGTAGTATATTAAGGTAAAAATTTTCTTCCCCTTAAAAATCTGTTTTTTAATATAACAGATTTATTGAGCTGTAATTCACATGCCATAAAACTCTCCCATTTAAAGAGTACACTTAAAATGTATAATTCTATAGTTTTGAGTATATTCAGAGAATTGTGCAACCATTACAATTTTAGAAAATTTTTATTACCCCAACAATTAACCACACACCTACCAGCAGCCACTCCTTATTTTCTCCCAGCCCTCCCCTACTTTCACCCTGCCTCAGTAGATACTCACTAATCAACTTTCTGCCTCTATGGATTTGCCTGTTGTGATCATTTTATGCAAATGCAATCATGTAATATCTGGGCTTTGCTTATCTACTTTTCACTGAGTATAATGTTTTCAAATTTCATCTGTGTTGTACCATAGATCAATACTTTATTTCTTTTTATTGCTAAATAATATTCCAATGTTGCCATTTTCATATCATAATTAACATTACCTGAAGTAGCTCTGTACATAAGCCTTTTAGTATAGATTCCCTAATATAGAATTAGTGGATCAAAGAGAGTGAACCTTTTTCCCCCATTGTATTTTAATCTTATTTATCTGTATACCTCAAAAGATGACATATGTGATTTTACTTTAATTACCTGAAAAATTAAAGATTAAAGAGAAAATCCTTCTTGACCACTGTACTTTCACACTCCAACCCCCACACCTTGGTCCTGTTCCCCTACTTTCTATTCCTAGAGGCAGCCATTATCCTGAGTTTGGTACGTATCCTTCCAATTAATTTTTTAAAAGTCTCTCATTTCTCCCTACATACATATTTGTATATGTGTGTGTGTGTGTGTGTGTTACACACACACATTTTTAAGGATTTTAAATGACATGTTATTTGGAGGTCAATAATAACTCCAAAGTGATGCCTGCAACATAAATCTCTATGCATGTTATTAAACAGAACAAAAACTAATTTCTTACTTCTACCCTTTCCATCAATATTCATATCATATAAATAAACCATAGTGTAATGGGAGATCTGAATCTCAATAAGGACTCTAATAGCCATACTAATAATTCATACCATGCCCTCAAGTGAATTCAATATTGTATTTCAGGAGCCTTTTTTTTTTTGAGGTGGATTTTTGCTCTGTCACTCAGGCTGCAGTGCAGTGGCAGGATCTTGGCTCAGGAGCCTTTTCTAGTTTTAAGGAGGATAAATAGGATTCATTGCAAAAGGCTGCAGATTTAGTGTGGAACCAAAACACTTAGTTTGATTATAGATTTGATAATTAACTCATTCTTAAACTCCAGAAATACTATCTAACTACTGTGTAATTGGAATAGACAAATCAGCCTTTTAAAAAAAATGGAATTTGTGAACTAAGCCAAAAATTTAATGGGCACTCTGCTTATATTCGGTAGTGTGAGAGAATGAGTCAAGATGACTCGACAGGTTTAACAGGTTCCCTGACTGCTGGACAAAAGCTAACTGTCCATTATTTTTCACCCAAATCTCCTGGACTTTTTTTTTTTCTGGAAGGGAATTATCTTTCCATAAAATACCTGGTGGCAGCACATATTCATTTTTTCATATAGTTGAGTCTGAATCATCTCAAGTTTCCTGGGCCTTCTTTCAACTCTGAGAACTAAGATGTAATACTAGGGCAAAGACCCTTTCATTATCTTCTGGGGATCTTCATGGCAGCTATCTGCAACTATCTTGAATTATCTTATGCAAATCTAGGAAAATCGCTGAATAATAAAATCCCATATTAAAATTATTTTTGAAGTTTAAACATTTTAATTCACTGTATTAAAAAATACTGTGTTGCCCTTTTACCTAAGGTGATACCCCTAAACCGCCGGTGCTAACATACTATATTGCCAAGTTTAGAGAAAGAGAAAGAAAGCAGTGCTACCATTTTTTTTTGTTTTAATTTGAGTTAGCATGTAGTAATGAGTATCAGAAAGACACTAGTTACAGGATTTACCTATATCTCAACCTCAATCTATAACTATCAGGGAGAAAGAAACGAACACAATAAATGGAGCTGGGCACTTCCATAAAACATCAATTGAGGAAAGAGGGGCACGGTGCTGATGGTGTACCTAAACTAAGAGCTTAAAGGTAGTGAGAAAAACCAAGCTGTGCTGTAAGTCTAATTCAGTTGGGACTTATTTCTCATGCTTAATGATGAGTGTAAAAGAACTGCATCCTTCAGCTTATAGTTAGCAACCACAGCCCCTTTCTCACAGACCCGTAATCTTAAAAAAAAAACAAAACTACTGCATTATAAATTCCGAACTTGGTGTTTTGTTAATCTTCCTCTCTATTAAATCCTTACAACTCTTCCTGGAGAGTAGGTATCACTATTCTTCCCATTCTTCAGATGAAGTTCAAAGATGCAGGAGACTTGACCAAAGGTTAGCCAGCAACTAGGGGTTGGGGAGAGGCGCCTTTGAAACAATGCAAGCCTGCTGGGCATGGTCTAACCCAGACATGAGTTCACATAGCTCAGAGGGCAGTGAAGTGGGACAAATGCTTGGCTTAACTGCCAGCCTCTGCTGCCCGGGGGCTGCGTGACCTTCGGCATTCACCGCAGTGGCACCCTCTCTAAAGGGAAGGTCATGCTGTCACCAACCAGATGATCTGCAAGGGGCCTCCAGGCCCCACCATCCACGTGCGGCAGGGTGCGCGTTCTGACCACCTGGCAAACCTGGTGCGATGGGGTAAAGCTAGCTGTGGCCCTCCTTCATTCACGGCATGGTCATTTAAGTAGCTGGGCGGCCTGTTTCGGTCCTTGTCTGCTTTTCAAGGTGCCAAATGTACGACCCTGGACCCGCCCCTGCGGGCAGCTAGGTTTTGCAACCCCACCCCCGAGTCCACCGCAGGAGAATTGGAGAAGCAGCCTAGGCGTCCATAGCCCATTGCGTCCCGGTCCACATCTGCTGTTCGTGGGGAGCGACCCCCGGGCAGCGTCCAAAGTGGAGTTCCCACACACGCTGCGAACCCACGGCCCGTTTTCTTTGAACGCGCGTCCTTGAGCCTGAGGGTGGAGGCGGAGAAAAGGGTGCGGAGCGAGTCAGAGGCGACCCCACGCAGGGCCGCAGCCCTCCCACCAGCGCGTCCTGCGGCACCAACCGCCACAGGCTGGGATCGCGGCTGCCGCCCCGCCCCCGCCTCTCCACTCCCTGCCCAGGGCTGCCGGGCCGGTCCCGCCCCGCCTGCAGGTGAAGCGGCCGCAGCCGCCGAGTAGGTGCGTGGGGATGATCTCACTCGCGCGCTCCGCGCCAGGAGGAGGAGGAGCGGGAGCGGATCCAACTTCCGGGTAGTGGAGCCGCACGCCACCGGCATCTTGCTTTTTCTTCCCCCTCCTCCCGTGTGCCCCTCGCCGCTCCCTCTTTCCCTTTTATTCCCGGCCCCACCCGCCAAAATGAACAGCTCGGACGAGGAGAAGCAGCTGCAGCTCATCACCAGTCTGAAGGAGCAAGGTAGGCAGCACGCGGGCGCCAGGTGTGGGCAGCCGCGGCCCGTGGGCGGGGACGGCTCCAGGGCGCTGGGGCCGGGGCAGGTGGAAGCCGCGCGGGAGACGTGGCGGCCGTCGTGGTCAACGCGGTAGCTCCGTCACGCGCGGAGAAGCGTCCTCCGTGGCCCGCGCGCCTGGGAAGTCCCAGGCCGAGGATAACGCCGAGTGTCCGGGCGAGTCAGGCCCCGCAGCATGAGACGCGCTGCCCGCCGGTGGCGTTTTGCTGGCGATGGGGCCTGGGGGAAGGGACGAGGATTCAGCGCGGACGAGGTTGCACAGTGCCACCCTCCTTTAGGGAGAAGCGGGTGGGGCAGGGTATTTTGGCAGCTTTGGGCGGCTCAGCTAGCTTGGCCCCACCCTTACACATTTGTTGGCGCCGAGTGGCCTGTAGTGCTGTTTCACACCCTTCCCAGCCCTTTCTTTGGGTTCGGTCTAGTTCCTCTTTCCTTACGCAGCTGGAATTTTCAGGGTATAATTTTTGTTTTTATCACTTCTCAATTTTAGCAGTTTATTAGTCAGCAAGGTCAACATGCTGCCGGTGTTGGGCTTCCAGAATTAACGGGGTTGACGCTGGGCGCGGGAGAGCCAGGCCATACGTACACATTTCTGTACTGCTTGGTAAATGGGGATTATTCTTTAATAAAGAGCTGCTTCGGTCAATATTTTTTTTTTCATTAGTTACCACACTTCTGAACCAAACCAGATCAACCACCAAATGTTAACCTAACACATTGAAACAATGATTATTACCCTGACCGAAGGGTGGTCTGCGAATGTGGGTCGAGAGAAACTATACAGATTTCAAGGAAGTAAAACTGTGTAGGAACATGTACTTTTCTGAATGACTTGCTGACATGACCGTGTAATGGAAGCCGCTCTTTGGCAAAACCTGGTGTTTAGTTCCAGTTATTTCACTTCTCTTGGTCCAATTCATCAGCTCTGTGAATTTGTCTTCTGGTTAATCAAGGCTGACCTGACTAAAGGCGAGGGCGAAACTGGAGAACTTCCTGAGGTCTTCTCCAGTACTCTTACCTGTTCTTCCTTAAAACCACAAACACCGTTGGGAAGCGCACCTGGATTCCTCTGAAGCCACTCTCTGGCAAACAGATGTCACCATTACTGTTTACTGTGTGACCTTGGGGGAAATTAACCTCTGAAATGGACATAACATTCCTCTGTAATATCCAGCATCTAGAAAGTGCTGGATAAATGTTAGTCTCTTTTGCCTTCCCAGCACCTTCACCTGGCATCCTAGATTAGCCTGAGGTCATAGAGTCACAAGCATCAGTGAATTTAGTGGGTGGACAGAATTCCTTTATCCGAAATTACTCAGGTGTTCTAGTGAGGGACCAGATTCTACTGATATTTTATATTTAATAACACCTTTCCCCCAACCCATAACATTAAAACTTGATTCATATTCTAGATTTGTGGAGCTTTCGTTATAGGTAATATTTATCAGTGAATATCAGATCTTCTTATGGATGGTCAGTTTTCAAATAATGATAATAAAAAAATTATCTTTTCATTTTGTATGTAATTCAAGGGTAGCTTAACAATCTAGAGAATCTGAAAATTGTTTCTATTTGATTTCAGAACACATTCTCCATTCCCGTGTTGGGTTTGAGGCCCAAGAAAAAGAATTTCTAAATTTCTAGCTCTTTCTCCTGTTGCATTGTACTAGAAAACAAATCCACGGCATTGGTATTTTTAGAAGATACATTTCCTTGATTAAGTGCATATCAAAGGTAATAAGGGGTATAAATTGTAAACTAAACCGTCCTTGTTACCAAATTAATTGTCCAGAAGAGAAGACAGTTACTAATAAAATAATCATATGAATAAATGTAAAATCACTTTTTTTATAGGATCGATTCTTAGAAATGGAATTGTTGGATTAGAGAGCATGAACATACAGTTTTGCTAGACATTACACAAGTACCCCCAAAAATGATTATACCAGTTCAAATATATCCTTCAGCAGTACCCATTTCCCCTACACTGGTCAACTCTGGCTAACAGCATCTTTATTAATTTAATAGCCTGACGAGGTTTTGATTTTTGCCAATCTAATAGGCAAAATGGTACCTTTTAAAATTTTCATTGCTCTGGTTATTAGTGAGGTTTGAAACCTTTTTACGTGCTCATTGGCCACTCGGGTTTCATCATATGGGTCCTTCCTTAGTTTTTTTAAACTGATACATGATACTTATACATATTTATAGAATACATGGGATATTTTGTTACATGCTTGGAATGTATAATGATCAAGTCTGGGTATTTAGGGTATCCATTACCTCCAGTATTTATCATTTCTATGAGTTGGGAACATTTCGAGTCCTCTCTTCTAGCTCTTTGGAAATATACACTACATCTTTGTTAACTGTAGTCACCCTACTTTGCTGTCAAGTGTTCAAACTTATTCCTTGTGTCTAACTGTATGTTTGTACCCATTAAACAATCTCTCTTCATTTCCCCGTGCCTTAGTGAGTTTTAAGTCTAAAATTTGAACTGGTTCTCCAGGGGAGTGTTCAGAAAGAAGATTCCTGTCTAATCTAAACCACAAAGCTGACAGCAGCCTTCCCTAATGTGAAGCCTTTAGTGGTGTGGTGAATAAGGTTGCTTTTGACAAAAGTTGTGAAATGTAATGACGGAGTCTGTCATAATATGAACAATCTCTAATTTATACTTACCATTCCCTAAGCTCTATGTCTTATAAATCACACCCACTTCTGAATTACTTCAAAACATTTTATGTTCCCTCCTAGTGAATGGTATAATTAGCTATATTATGTCTTTCTAGAAAGTTATATTATGTCCCTTTAAAAAAGATTAGCCAGTATGTGATTGCTTATGTTCAAGCAGATGTTGAGGTAATGAGGTAATTCTCCTTTTGTCTTTTTGGGGGCTTTATTTTATTGGACTGATTGACATATTTAATGCACGGAGAAATGGCAACTTTGGATACTATTTCCAAGGCATATTTCCTAGCTACTAAAGTGGATATTTCCCTTTCAAAACATCATACAATTTGCTCCCCCTCCGGAATTCAGTGGGAAAATGATAGACTTAGTTCAGCATTTGTTTAAGGTGCATGATTTTCTGTGTAATTCATTCAGCCCACATGCATTGAATATTCATAGCCAGGCACTGTGCTAGGCATCAGAGAGACAGAGCTGAATAAGACCTTGCCCTTGCTGGTGAGGAGTTCCTGGTCTGGAGATGGTGCCAGGCATGTGAATTCCAGGAAGAGTGTCTGACTGGCCTAGTTTGGCCAATCTCATAAATTCAAATACCTTGGCCACGGGAGGGCAGGATACTTTAATTGGCAGCCTCTGCAAAGATTGCTATAGTTGTCCAAAACAGAATGGGGTGCCACTACCAGGAGGATGCAGACTGGGCAGACACATACAACACATGTCTGCTAAACTGTTGAGTATAGTAGTGCCATGTCACTTTCAAGTGGATGAAATTTTGAAGACAATTGGCTTTTAATAATAGGGATATACTAACATAAGACCAAAACCACCACCACCACCATCACCAAAGTAATGGGCAATTCTGGGGCTAACAGTATTTAAAATGGATTTTCTATGGGGAGGTATTTGGCTTTAAAGCAATTTTAAACCTCCTTTTACCTTTAGAGTTAGAATTGTTTTCCTTAAGATTATTGAGATGATTCTTAAGATTCAGATGGAAATCTAGTCAAGCTTATTCTTACAGCAAGTTAGGAATTAAAAGGTATATCCAGTATTCCCTTGGCTTCTATGCCAGGAAGTAACGAGTATTATTTTGACAAAACAGTATGAAACTATTGCCTACCACAATGACCATATCAGTCTGGAAAAACGAAATTATTGACAATCTTGGACATGTATGAGATCAGCCAATAGAAAGCTGTTTGGAGTAATGGTTGCTTCGTTTTCAAGTGCAAACTTGGTTTTACATCAGTATTTTTCAAAGTGTGGTACAGGGGCCAGCTACATCTGAAACACCAGATACTTATCACCGATGCATTTTTCTCCTAGAATTAGTGAATGGCTGCTGAAGGACAGCAGTTGGACAGCACCCCCCACCCCATGAGATGGACATGCAGCATGGGCTAAGGAGCTATGTCTCCTAGTAAGAATTTTGCTGTTACCTAATACTTCCATTATATATATGAATCACTATTTTTTTTTTGAGATGGAATTTCACTTTTGTTGCCCAGGCTGGATTGGTGCAATCTTGGCTCACTGCAACCTTGGCCTCCCAGGTTCAAGCGACTCTCCTGCCTCAGACTCCCCAGTAACTGGGATTACAGACATGCACTGCCACACCCGGCTAATTTTGTATTTTTAGTCGAGACAGGGTATCGCCATGTTGGTCAGGCTGGTCTTGAATTCCCAGCCTCAGGTGATCTACCCACCTCAGTCTCCCAAAGTGCTAGGATTATAGGCGTGAGCCATGCTACCTGGCTGTGAATCGTTTTTTCAAATAAATGTAAAAATAGACATATGCTTATAGAAAACAAGGTGTAAAGTGAAAAGTACAATTACCTGTTCTATCTGATCCATTGTTTCTCAATCTTTATTATCCCTCTCCTAAGGAAACTTTTTAGACATTTTGTGCACTGTGACCCTCTGAAGGACCATAAGCCATTGTAATATCCAAAATCTTTTCTCTTGTCTTCTTGAGGATATCACCACATTGACAATGCATGCTGTGACCCCATTTTCATTTCTCATAATGTTACTCAAAATATCTGACTGGGAGACATAGTTCCTTAGTCCATTCTGCATGTCCATCTCATGAGGCGTTGCCCAAATGCTGTCCTTTAGCAACCGTTCACTAACTTTAGGAGGAAAATGCATTGTTGATATGTACCTGGTGATTCAGATGTAGCTGGCCCCTGTACCACACTTTGAAAAATACTGATGTAAAACCAAGTTTGCACTTTAAAACAAGGCAACCATTTGTTTTCAC